TAATCCGGTGTACGACGGGTTGTGTCGTCTTTACTTACGTTCGGGTGTCCGTCTCGCAGCAGCTTGTGGAAAACGTGGCAGAACTTCCAGCAGAGCACTGCGTTGCTGGACAGGGGAAGCCGGTTGACTGCAGCCCAGAAAGTGTGAGCCCCTTTCTCATGATGGGTCCCCAAGATGCAGGGTGGCAGCAACGGTCAAGGAATACAAGGTGCTCTTTGGTTTTTTTGTTTTGTGGCGGTGGTGAGGCGCTGCTTCGTTTACTTATTTTTATTTCCCAGATCACTCTGAATCTCTTTATATCCCTCTAACATCCTGAGGAAATATCTTCACATTTTCTATAAATCTACTCATAATACTACAAATAAATAAATAAATAAATGTTATCGTCTCTTGTTGCTAGAAGACACTGGCAGCTTCAATTAGGATGACAACGCTGGGTCAGATGATGCTTTTTGTAACTGTACAAACATACAAGACACACATTTCTGTTTAAACAATCTTACTTTGGAGAAATGGGCTCTTTCTGACCACACTGACGAGCTAAGCACTGGTCTGACCAGGGCTAAAACCAAAATCAATTACTGCTAGCTTAAAACGACTAGTATGAAATAATTCACTGCAGTTCATTCAAATGCCATTTTAAAAATATTTAAATTGCTTTAAAATATCACATTATTCAATTAGTCCAGCAGAAAAGTTAAAAGTTTCTTGCCTCAAGTGCCCCAGACTGCATCAAAATGGCTACAGCTAGCTGCCACTGCAGCTACTAATGTTTAAAACCCACAAAAATGTATGTAATTAACTGTGTAATGCAACATTATGGTAATGTAGACATGTACTAAACGGTGTTTATGATGCATTATCACAACCAAAAACAAAGGAATCTTAATTATTCTCACCTCTTTTTGTACTCTGAAGGTTTTTGATAAAACAGCTTTTTGTATGATGACGAACAATTAGATGTGCATCACATCCACATGATGGGGTCTCGCAAAGTTTGTTGTTTTGCACTCATGTAACCCTCAGACTCTGCACGCACATGAAAAAACAAACAATTCCTCGCCGCACGCAGACAATATGAGGATATTCCTGGCATGCTTCTCTTTGACAGCGACCTCCTGTGTGTTGATGGCCTTGTTGATGCTGACAGCCTGGAAAGAAGAGAACAGGAACACCTCAGCCTTCGACTCCTCACTCAAGCATCTCATTATGAACTTGACATCTTTCCACCGCTCTTTTCTTCCCTTTTTTCCACACTGTGTGAAATAGGAAGAAGCAAGGTTGTTGTTTTAAAGAGAAGACTGACTGACCCATTTTCTGAAGAGTTAGTATTCACGGCAGCAGCTGAGAGGTCTGAGCGTTACAGCCTGTAAAGCTTCTCAGCCTCAGCGAGCTGATCGGTGAGAGATGTGACAGAGCATGAACACAGGGCCAGAACATTGTGTGTGACTTCTCTTTCATTAGTCTGTGCTTGAGTTATAGGATCCGACGACATAAAACAAACAGAAGCACCGAAGCCGTGGCCCCATAGGCTTTAGGAAACGTTTAATGTGGGGAAGGCAAGCACCAAGACTACTTGAAATGGCTCCAAGCCAACAAGCCATGTGTGGAGGAGCAGAAGAGTATCTGTAGTGTGAAACCTGTTCAGCAGAGCTCAGATTATCAATAGGGATGCACGATATTGGATTTTTGGCCGATATCCGACATGCCGATTTGTTAAAACTTATTTGGCCGATAACCGATACAGATGTTTCAAATACTTTCCTTTGTCAGAACATATTCCTCTTATTTAGGCTTATTTGCTACAAAAAATGTGCAACATCTGTAACAGCTGGTGACATATATTCAGTAACAGCCATATATATGCATAGCCCTTTGACTTATATTAAATGAAAAGTGTTAAATGTTATTTATTAGCATTAGCCGCCTGTGATGCTGTCTCACTTGTGGAGGCTTGTTCCAGGTTCCTGTAGCTGCAGTGTGGGATCCTCTGCACTCTTGTACACGAAGGACAGACTTTTTAAGTTCAAAGTTTTTGTCTATCCATTGTGCTGTAAGACTAATCATGCTAACGGGGCTAACACGACGTCCAAATGTCTGTGGTAAAACTCACCCAAGTGCTATCGGCTATTAGCTTCTCAATGACATCAGAAATGACGGCTTGTAACTCGGGTAAGGCTACGTCGGAAAAACATCTCCAACTGGGGACGATGTAGCGAGGCTCAACGTGGTCCATAAATAAACGGAATCTGACATCCTCAACAAAAAAAACCTTCCACACCACTGACATTTTGACTTCTTCCTCTCCGCCGTGATCAGATCAGGTAGGTGCGCGTGACGTCATCACGTTGTGTTGGCACTGCAGGCTTCCCTGTCACTGGATTGTCCTACAAAAACAATGCCTTTTATATCGGCGAGTTATTTTGATGGACTGGCCCGATGTCCGATATTTAACTTGAACGCTAATATCGGCCGATACCATGCCGATAATATTGTGCATCCCTAGTTATCAATATTCATAAAAAAGGTCAAGAGGTCATACAGTATGATCATACAGTCAACATTAGTTTACAATTAACTGAATTCTCTGTTCAGATTAAGTAAACCCATACAACTCTTAGTCACTGTAATGAGTTGAAGTGTGTTCTGTAGAAAGGTTTTAAATAATTTCTTACCTGATGGAAATAGCTCTTTGAATGACCTGTTTGGAAAAGTTATTTAATTTCAAGTAGACTGATGAGCAAACGGCTAGTCAGAGCTGAGTTGAGACCAAAGTGCATTAATGTAGGCTCCTACCTTCTGTACAGTAGTCCCTCACTACTTCGTAGTTCGACTTTCGTGGACTCACCCTTTTGCGGTTTTTCAAAGTAAGATTGAACACAAAGAAAAAAGTACTCAACACACGATTGTCAACTTTAATATTACTCAGGTGATTGGGACAATATGGGATACTGTACAGTAAAAAGTTAACGAAAGAATACAATACTTTGGACAAATGCCACCATTTTGTATTTTTCTCTCAATAAGCCTACACCGTATCACCACTCATAAGGACTACATTTCCCAGAAGCCCCGTTGCCTTCTGCGGAAATACGTAGATGGAAAGTTCTGATCTGATCCGAAAAAGTTTGGTCATTTACGGTGACTACGGCGCCCAGCAGATTCAGAGAGCCACACGGAACCAGACCAGAGCCGGACCCACAGAAGCATCAGCGAACCCGACAGCTGGTAGCCGGCCCACAAGGACTTTCGAGCAGGGCGCATTAACTGTAGGTCCAGCATTTTCTCTGGAGCCCAACGCCACTACCCTGAGCCAGAGAGCCGTCCAGAACTGGCAGGGAACCAAGTCGGAGCGGAACTGAGCCGCTGCTGTTCTGCAGAGCTGGTGACTGAAATTTAGTAGCTACATATACGCGTGTTGTTAAAATGACGTCGGTTTAAGAGCTTAGAGCATTGCAAGAGTGTGGGAAGGGTTTTGAAAGCCTTAATATATATATATATATATATATATATATATATATATATATATATATATATACTTAGATAAATATAAAGTCACTACTTTGCGGATTTTCACTTATTGCGGCGGGGTCCGAAACGTAACCCCCACAATAAAGAGGAACTACTGTACTCAAATATAAATGATTTCATAGTGATTCAGCTGAATGCTATTTTAAACCTTTACAATGGCATCAAATGTGCACTTTACAGTTACTTACATAGAAATATTTGGTGATTTGCAAGCAGAAATAGAAGCGCTGAACTTTTGGTGCAGCTTGCAGCACTTCTGAGATATATTTTCAGACGGGAGTCGTTTTAAGACTAGAAAAACCCGCGCTGTTCTTAGCCCCTCATGAACTAGCTGGTCGCTCATCAACCCAGTCAGGATTAAACTCTTATTTGTCCAAAATTAAGTCGTTCGAGGATTCAAGGTTTTTATTTGTCATTCATTTGTTCAGCCATCAATAACAGGTAAGATATGAGCTGTTCATTACATTTCTCACAGAACCTTTACTTCAAAAACCGCCTGAATCATCCAAGAGCAAAGCATTTCAAAAATGTGCCATTTTGAACAAAAAAAAAAGACTGAGAATAAATTTGTGAAATACCCAAACCATTTATGTTTACTATTTGTAAACTAGATACATCTTGTTCAAAAATGTGTAATACCCACTCCCATACTTCTCTGTTGAGCATAAATTAATAAAAAAATAAAATAAATTCCAACAAAAAATGTTTGCTGGAGCTGATTTTTATCTTTGGATTGACCATTTGGGGGAATACTAAAAATAATCGGAGAAGTTATGAAGCTTTGACTCAAACGATAACTGCCAGCACAAAACACCAACAGGAGGACGTTTCCGTCAAGATCACAGCTGCGCACATGCAGGGAAGAAATGTTCTCTCTCCTCTCGACATTTCTTTACGTTCCTTAAGGTCAGACAGTCAAACGATAAAATCAGTCAGAAGAAACAAACCATAAGAACGTTTTCAACACTGCGTCCAGTTCTAGGCCAGCATCATTTCAGAGCTTGAACAGCTTCAGTTTTTCCAACAGCATCTGGTCCACATAAATAAAAATCTAAATAATAAAAAACTTTAATCTCAATCACAGAGTGGAACAGAAACTGAAACGCCAGAGACAAGTGTCTGTCGATACCGTTTGCATGGCATCATGAACTGATGGCGAGCCAGTTCAGGTCAGGAGAAGTTCTGTTTCCTAATCTCCAGAGTCTGCTCCTCCTCCTTGAAGTGAGCTGTTCGGACAAACAGTTCCCCAAGAGGAGGAGAGCTGGAGGAGGAGAGGGCCAGGAAAGAGGCTGGGATAAAGAGAAGAGGAAAGCAGGGACAGTTTGGAAGCGCCGATCGCTCACAATAAATGAGACGAGACAAATGGGAGCCTAGCATCACAAGAAGAAAGTCCGGCACCGTTCTGTCAGCAGGAGGTGGACGCCGTTGTGAAAGAGACTCCATGCTCAGTTTGGGGAATCCTACGTCTACACTCAAGATACACCCATCAATGTTTCCAGGCCAATTCTGATTTATGCAAAAAGTCGACCTGCTAGAACCAGTATTTTCCTCCCAGAAACTAGACAAGCATTTCTTAAAAGGAACAAAGTTCATGCTCAAAAGAAAAAGAAACCGTCCAGATGACCCGACTGAGAATTACTGGATTTCTTAAAGGAGTACGTGATGCTGTTTATACCAGAGTTTCAAACAAAAACACTTTTATTTTGATCATCGTTTTGGTCAAACCTGAGAAATTAATATGTGTGCGTCCTCATTCAATACCTTCCAAGAAGTGTCAGCTCTCAAAGTCTGTGTTAAGGATGACCTGCAGCTACTACCACGACAACATTTTGCTCCCTCGATGTAAAATTGATTGAGTTGGAGTCAGCTTTGTTTTGGCTCATGCCAACGTTTTGATTTGAGGTGATTCTAAAACGTAATAAGTTTCGTTAAGATCTGTCCTGTGGTTTATGAGATATTTTGCTGACAGTGTTGACTTTTACCAGGTAATGGAAAAGTTTTATGCAAAGATGTTATGCAATATGTAGCACCAGTAGCATGTGTTGGGAGTGATGCTATGCTACTACCACACCATATTTTAACTCAATATCTGTCATTTTGGGGGGACTTCTAGTCATGTTTGTGTTTTTTAATGTCAATTTGTTGTGGCGGCCATATTAAACTATGCCGAGTTTAAAGGTTTAATCTTTAATCTCATCTTCTGTAGCATTGTGCTGCGTGATCAAACTGCACACTCAGAGTGGCCTTTTATTGTGGTCACCCTAAAGCACACCTGTGCAACAACCATGCTGTCCCATCAGCATCTTGATATGCCTCACCTGTGAGGTGGATGGATTATCTCTGCAAAGGAGAAGTGCTCACCAACACACATTTACACAAATCTGTGAACAACATCTGACAGAAAAAGGTATAATGTGTACATTGATAAGTTCTTAGATCTTTGAGTTCAGCTCATGAAAAATGGGAGCAAAAACAAAAATGTTGCATTTACCAGTATATTTTGTTTAGTGTACACACACACACACAATGGTGGCCATCTTGAATTTTGACATGGTAACCCAGTTATTTGATAAAGACTTGTTACTCCTCGGTACAGCCACACATCTAAACAGAAGACAGC